CGAAGAGTTAATGCTGACAAGGATTTGAAGGCTGGCACCTTGACGTTATTTTTGACAGCAACCAAAGTGAGGAGTCAAATCTCATTTTAATAAGTTTGTATGGGTAATAATAGCTTGAATTTCATTTTAGAACTGAATCTGGTTGGAATGCCAAAAGTTCCATCAGAGCATCTCCAAGGGAGAATTGTTTTCTGAGTTAGTGATGATATAAATGATATACCGAGATGGAGGAAGGAAGGAACCATATATTTGCTTCCTTTTTTTCCATTGGTAAAGCATAGAGTAAAAACTGGGGGTTGTCATTTCATTCCTATCAATCCATCTACCCCAAAGAAAGAGGAGGGGCAGCAAATACAATGACTATGTGAAATTATGGACTATATAGTACAACAATATGTAACCACCAAACAATACAATGACTATGTGAAATTATAGATTATATAGTACAATAATATGTAACCACCAAACATCCTGGACAGGTCACCACCATGATACAAAAAGGAGGAAAAATTGCAGACTGAAAGTTGAGTTTTTATGCCGGTATACTAATAACAGTAAGGAAAAGATGATAAGGCAAAAAAATTAATCATGGGAGTACACTGTCTTAAATATTCCTGTATTACTAGACTCGTGAAACCTTTGGTGGTGATCGACCCTTGAGGAAGCGCCAAGGCCCTGTTCCAGTCCCCATCCTGCAAGTGTGTAAGGTCCAAAATCAATTTTCTAATTAACAACTACATTCTAGTCTAGTGATGATACTAATTATGTGCCGAGTGTTGGAAGAGGTTTCAAATTCGAATCTCTCTCCTGTTGATAAAAGAAAAGTAAGTTCATAACAGATAATTACCTCCATACACCAGCAAATGTACGCAGCGCCATACAGATGGTTAAAGCAATCCAAATTCCAATGAAACCATGGGATTTGGAGAGAAGGAACAAGGATACAATGCTTGCTATGGCCACCAGAACCTGAGAAGGAACAGAGAATTTGGTTTGAAGAATTAGTAACACAATATGTGAAAAGAGAATTTAGAAACATCAATTGCAAAACTTGTAGTATCATTTATAGTGTGGAAAATGGTTTACAAGAGACTTGCCAAGGAGTATGCAACAAACTGATGGAAAGAAAACAATTTAGTTTTAAGATTCTTTCATCATTCAAAAAACATATATTGAGAAAGAGAAATTTAGTTTTCGCAAATGTGGAACGTAACGAAATTGTTAAAAAGAAATAGTAGGTTAATTATAAACCTCAAGTCATGAATGGTTTATAGATAAATAGCCTCTGCTGCTATGTGTACAAACTGAAGTACCTGTAATACCCTGGTTGCGGTAGCTGCGGCCTTCTTGTAGTCTTTCTCAGCAAATGCACATGCCAAAAACTTGTTGTGAAATTATTGCAAGCGCACAATTCGTACAAGTAATATAGAAATAAGTAGAGTGTCGTTCCCACGAAGACTGTAATTTCCTATTAACTACCAATTATGATTAATTTAGAAGTTTATTTGAACAGTTAATTAAGAAGATTGATTGATTCAAGAAAACTAAAATAATTATGAAAAATAACAATTTAATTAACGATAGAAAATTAAGATGATGAGACACTAGAGCATCCGATTTCACCATAACCAATTCTACTTAATTCTTATAGCCAATTAACCCTAATTACTATCCCTGTTGACAGTTGGTTTCTCCTAATTCATTCGATATCCCCTCTCGGGCTCAACCAAAAGTATTCTCAATTAACAACCCATTCTCTCTCGAGCAACGGATTTAGAAAACTAAGAACCCATTAAGTTCTATGAGAACCTACAAGAAAACTGCATGAGTCATGTTAGTCCCTCTCGGGCACTCATTCAAGTCATGGTATTTGTTACAAGAAGCAAACACCAAACATCTCCTCTCGGTCTCCGCTTGGATCATCAATTAAATATTAGCTAGATATTTAAATCATTAAGAACAGTAACAAATACTCAACATGGGATAATAATAAGGAATTAATATAACTATAAAAATTGAGTATTCATGGTTAGGCTACATCGTAGCCCTAGCAAGGAAAATTAGTTCATGACAAAAGAAAAGATAAATAAGAGAATTGTTGTCATAAAACCGATTTGGCCGATGGATTTGATCTCTGGATTCTCCACAGCAACCACTTTCGAAAGCTCCTCAAGTAGTGCAGCAGCAAATTCTTGGCTCTCTCTAATATTTTTCTGGTTATATGAAAGTTGTGTATAGGAAGATGATGGAAAAGATGATCCTCCCTAGAGAGAACTTAGGGTGACCTTATATAGTGTAAAACAACTAAACCCTACTCTAAAAAGGTCTGGAAAAACTCTCCTAAAGCAAAACCAAATTCCAAACAATTAAGGAAACAAACTAGGAAAGAATCCTTATTTGACTTGGAAACACGTCAGCCAACTTGCACGCACGTTTTGGGGTCGTTCCACTTCCTAGAAAATTCTGGAAAAATATGAGAAACGTAGCTTTATCTCTAAGCTTTCCAAGCATATATTACACACCACTAGGAAAAATCGGAAAGATATTCAAATCTTCACTCTTCCACAGCAGTGCAGTTCTGACGGGATTTCAACTTAGGCTGTCTTGACTTGCAGGTCTGGAGCATTTGGCTTGGTAGAAAATTATGAAACTTTGATACAATGATCTTCAATGTCTTAGCTTTCTTCTACAATTGGTCTTGCACTAAAATGCATTCGAAAAGTTGATTTTCAGTTGAAATCCTTCCAAGAGCGCAGAATAGCTGAAAATAAGGAAAGTAAAGTAATAATACTCTTTTTAATTAACTTTCCCCACAAAACCTACATATAAAAGGTGTAAAAATATAGGAAATAATACACTTATCAAACTACCTCAAACCTATCTTTTGCTAGTCCTCGAGCAAAATTAGAAATTAAAACAAACACAAGACAAAAACTAACTAAACCACTTTCGCAGGTAAACTCGATGGCACTTAGCATGTGCCACAAGCCGTTAAACCTCTAGGTGTCCCTAGTAGGAGGAGTTGTGTCTCCTGAGGGTTTACCAGTCACGATACCCACAAACGTTTACTACAAAACAAAGTCGTTAAAGACACCACTTTAACAGGCTAATAAAAATCAATGCATGCCAATCACATTTGCATCACTAAAGATATGCCACTTTAAGTAAATTGCATCATAGTGTAATGTGTAATACCAAAACTCATAACATCAAAGCTTAAAGACAACCACACTCGAATACCATGGAATTATTTCGCCTTGACTCTAATCCTCACCGGATATCACTCTATAATTTTTCTCTCAGAATCCTAGGCTTACACTCAAATGTCACATATGTGTATGAAGTTATGTAATGGAAATCAAATATTAACACATATGCTTAGCTTGAAGAATGGCAATTTCTAAAAATAATGTCTCATAAAAAGAATCGAATACTAAGAACTAGAGTACATACCTCACCTCCAAGAAAGATTTCCCAAAAGATCAGTTAGGTCTTTTACTTTGGTTGTAATGAAAGGCTAGGTTTGGGTTAAGAAAGAAAGGAAAGGAATAACAAAAACTTAGGACATACCAAAGCATTATTCACGATCACATACACGGACAGCTCTTTTTGAACTTTTTGTACCACTCAGCGTCCAGGGATTGTGCATATTTTCTACTCCATTTGGAGTGATTTTGAACTTTTATTCTTTTGATTTGCAAAATATTTTCTTTTCTTTTCTTTTCTTATATTTCTTTTTTTTCTTGCAATTTTTACACAAACACCTCGGTACACGCCAATTCTTTGGTGTAGAGCCCAACCTTCTTATTTTCATCACTTTGGCACATCCTAAGCTATAAGGTATGGCTTAGAAACGGGTTATATAGGTTAAAAGATAGTAGGAGTGATGAAGGAAGGGCTAAGTGTTTGGTTGCAAAGGGGTTAATGACGCACACAAAGGGGTAGGATGAAAAGTCTTTTAGAGGGTGAAAACATGCATAGCCTAACATCATCTCTTATGGTCCATCCAACTTGGAAGCGACATACCTACAAAAATAAGAAAATTCTTTAGTATCCAATACAAACCTAATGAGAGCAATCTAATTAAGAATAAAATCGAAGAGTGTTTAAGAGTAGAAACAATGAAACCCCTCTCAAAGAAAATGGCTTTTGGCTCAATTATCTCACAAAGGTAGTCTCCACTACTATTCCATAGTCATTCGAGCATAGCAACCTTGTCCACCAAAACATTACGAGTATGGTATTGTGAAGTGCAAAGATTATAATGCAATCACCCTTCATGGCAACACGTTAGTAAAGCATTCATGATCAAAACATGGCATATACATCTCTATTAGCAAGGAAAAGTGACAACTTTAACTAGAATTTATGTTTCACAAAAACTGCTTCTTTTCAATTTTGACCTCAGATCAGTTTTCAACAATTATCTCTTAAAGTACTGCATGGATTTTGACAAGCCTTATATGCTCAGAAAATAGACAAAGAAACGCATAACTTTTCTTTAGACCAAATACCAGAAAACAGACTAGAACTGCATGAAAACTGACGTTAAATACAGAACACAGTACAGAATCGCAGAAATACTGGAGTTCCAGACCCCTGTTCAGAAAAACAGCTATAACTTCCAAACGAAAAGTCAGAAAATTACGAGCCTTATATGGCTGGATTCAGCACGAAAAACTGAAGAAGGCAACGCGGGCCAAATCTTCAATTATATCACAGATTAAAACAGTATTATCGAAACATAAACACCAATGCTTTGCATGACTCAAAAAAGACTAAAAACGAAAAAATTAAAAAATAAAATGAATGTTACCCACCTCAAACCTAAATGAAACATTGTCCTCAATGTTTAAATAGAAAATAAGAGCAAGGACAAAGAATAGTAAAATAAATGAACGAGGGAAACACACAAATAAAAATTAAAAAGATAAGGAACGAAGGTACCTAGTTGGGTTGCCTTCCAACAAGCGCTTAGTTTAGAGTCAATAGCCCGACTTTTGGATGCGTTTACTTGGGATCATCGAGTAGGACGGTGCTCTCCTCCTCAAGAAATGCGGCTGTCACATAAGGTTTGAGTCGATGGCCATTAACTTTGAAAGTTGTACCGTCACGATCGTTCTTGATTTCAATCGTCCCATAAGGATACACTGTTAACACCGTGAATGGCCCAGACCAACGAGAGCGAAGTTTCCCAGGAAAAAGTTTCAACCGTGAGTTGTAGAGGAGAACGCTTTGACCCACATAAAATTCCTTCTTCAAGATGTGCTTGTCATGCCACTTCTTTGTACGGTCCTTGTAAATTTTCGCATTCTCATACGATTCATTTCGAAGTTCCTCTAGCTCATTCAATTGTAACTTCCTCTTCTCCCCTGCTGAACTCATGTCAAAATTGAGTGTTTTAATAGCCCAAAACGCTTTATGCTCCAATTCCACCGGAAGGTGGCATGCTTTCCCAAAAACAAGTCTATATGGTGACATCCCAATTGGCGCTTTGAACGCCGTTCTATAAGCCCATAGTGCATCATCCAATTTTAATGACCAATCTTTCCTAGAGGCACTCACCGTCTTTTCCAAGATTTTCTTCAATTCCCTATTCGAAACTTCAACTTGCCCACTAGTTTGCGGATGGTAGGGAGTAGACACTTTATGGGTGATGCCATATTTTGCAAGAAGGGAATTAAATTGACGATTGCAAAAATGCGTACCTCCATCACTAATAATTGCACGAGGGACCCCAAATCTTGTAAAAATATTCTTTCGTAGAAATCTGACCACAACCTTGGCGTCATTCGTGGGTAGGGCAGTTGCTTCGACCCATTTGGATACATAATCCACTGCAACCAAAATATACAAATTCCCATATGATGCCGGAAACGGACCCATGAAGTCAATACCCCAAACATCAAACAATTCCACCTCCAAAATATTATTCAAGGGCATTTGGGTTCGACTAGAGATATTTCCTGTACGTTGGCAAGGATCACACCTTGCAACAAAGTCTTGAGCATCTTTAAACAAAGTAGGCCAGAAAAATCCAGATTGTAGAACCTTGGCCGTAGTCTTGGAAGCACCATAATGGCCTCCACATGCCAAAGTATGACAATGCAATAATATGTCAGCCATCTCTGTCTCAGGTACACATCTTCGTATAATTTGGTCAGGACCGTGCTTCCACAAATAAGGATCATCCCAATAATAATGTTTAATCAATGATAGGAATTTCTTTTTCTGATAAAAAGACATATGAGGGGGAAGAATACCACAAGCTAGGTAATTTACAAAATCTGCATACCAGGGAGTGATGAATTCTTTCTCAGAGTTGATGGAAAATAATTGCTCATCCGGGAATGTCTCTAGGATAGGCCCAACATCTTCTATAACTTCATCCTCACGGACTAGCCGAGAGAGGTGGTCGGCCACCACATTCTCAGACCCTTTTTTATCTCGAATTTCAATATCAAACTCTTGAAGTAATAAAACCCATCGAATTAGTCTTGGTTTTGCTTCCTTCTTGGCGAGCAAAAATTTTAAAGCTGCATGATCCGTATACACAATTACCTTCGCACCCAATAGGTAAGAACGAAATTTATCCAATGCAAATACCACTGCTAACAATTCCTTTTCCGTAGTGGCATAGTTCAGTTGAGCATCATTCAATGTACGACTTGCATAGTGAATTACATGTAGTAATTTATTCTTCCTTTGACCCAAGACAGCTCCAATAGCATAATCACTGGCATCACACATAATCTCGAATGGTAATTCCCAATCAGGTGCCATAATGACTGGTGCAGTGGTGAGCTTTTTCTTCAATAAATTAAATGCCTCCAAACAGTCTGAATCGAAGTTGAATTCAGAATCCTTCAATAACAACTTGCAAAGAGGCTTTGTAATTTTTGAGAAATCCTTAATAAATCGACGATAAAACCCAGCATGTCCCAAGAAGCTTCGAATTCCTTTCACTGTAGAAGGGGGTGGTAGCTTTTCTATGGTCTCAATTTTTGCACGGTCAACCTCAATACCTCTTGCTGAAATTTTATGCCCCAACACAATTCCTTCTTGTACCATAAAATGGCATTTTTCCCAATTGAGAACTAAATTGGTTTCTTCACATCTTGCCAACACCAATGCCAAATTATCCAAACAAGAATCAAAAGATGAACCGAAAACAGAGAAGTCATCCATAAATACCTCAATAAATCGCTCCACCATGTCAGAGAAAATGCTTATCATGCAACGCTGAAAAGTGGCAGGAGCGTTACATAACCCAAAAGGCATACGACGATAGGCAAAAGTGCCAAATGGACATGTGAAGGTCGTTTTTTCTTGGTCTTCAGGCGCGATAGGGATTTGATTATATCCTGAGTATCCGTCTAGGAAACAGTAATAGGCATGCCCAGCAAGTCTTTCTAGCATCTGATCAATAAAAGGCAGTGGGAAGTGATCTTTTCTGGTTGCAGAATTCAATTTCCTGTAATCTATGCAGACTCTCCATCCTGTAACAGTTCTTGTTGGGACTAACTCATTATTTTCATTTTTTACAACAGTCATCCCTCCTTTCTTTGGCACAACCTGTGTAGGACTTACCCAACTACTATCAGATATAGGGTAAATAATACCTGCATCAAGCAATTTTAATACCTCTGCACGAACCACTTCTTTCATGTTGGGGTTCAATCGGCGTTGATGCTCCACGGATGGCTTATGCTCCTCTTCCATTAGTATTCGGTGCATACACATAGAAGGGCTAATACCCTTGATGTCAGCGATTGTCCACCCAATTGCAGTTTTATGTTTTCTCAAAACCCGTAATACTTTTTCTTCTTCAGTTTCACTCAAATTTGCAGCAATAATAACTGGTAAAGTTTCAGAAGTTCCCAAATAAGCATACCTCAAATGTGTTGGCAATGGCTTCAGAGTGAGTGTAGGTGCAGCAATTACAGAAGGTGCAGCCTTAGGAGGTGCTGCTCCTAGTGGTTCGAACTGATTCCTTTGCCTTGGATGGTATGGTTGTGATGCATCCAAATATAAGGCATATTCAGCAACCATGGGGTTGTCATCTTGGGAGGTAGCAGCATGGACCAATGTAGATTCCAATGGATGGCTCGGATTCTCCTTTTTAAATGTGTCTGAAGCAATTTCATCTATTAATTCTATGTGAAAACAATCCTCCGCTTCTCTTGGAAATTTAATTGCTTCAAAAACTTTGAATGTCGCTTGTTCATTCCCAACTCTCAAAGTTAGTAAGCCTTCTTCTACGTCAATCAGAGTGCGTGAAGTAATCAGGAATGGGCGGCCCAAAATTAGCTGCGTGTCAGAATCTTCTTCCATATCCAAAACCAGAAAATCCGCCGGAAATATGAGTGTATCAACCTTTACTAGGACATCTTCTATAATTCCATCTGGGTATGTGATTGACCTGTCCGCCATCTGCAAAGAAACAGTAGTGGGTTTAATTTCACCAATACCAATCTTTTTAGCAACAGATAAAGGTAGTAAGTTAATGCTAGAACCCAAATCACATAAAGCTCTTTCAAAGAAATTATTTCCAATAGTGCATGGAATTTTAAAACTCCCTCTATCTTTTTGTTTTGGTGGAAGCTTCCGTTGTAAGATGGCACTGCACTCTTCTGTTAGTTGGATTTTCTCGTGCTCTCCAAATTTCCTCTTCTTGGAGAGAATGTCTTTCATGAATTTTGCATAACTTGGCATTTGTTCCAAAGCTTCAGCAAAAGGAATGTTGATCTGTAACTTTCTGAACATCTCCAAGAATTTTGCAAACTGCCCATCAACTTTATTTTTTCTCAACCTCTGTGGAAAAGGGATTTGTGGGACATATGGCTTCAATTGAAGAGAAGGAATTGGTATAGAATTTTCTTCTTCTTGGGATTTTTCTGTGGTGGTGATTGGTGGTGAAAATGCATGCCCCATTTCTGCCGCAAACTTCTTAGCTTCTTTTTCTTTCTCTAATGCTTCTTTTTCCAAGTCGATCGCTGTATTTACTTGCTTCCCTTTGCGAAGAGTGATTGCCTTTGCTTGTTCTTGATTTTTCGGGTTAACTTCAGGTTGGCTTGGAAATACTCCTTGGTTTCTTCCACTTATGACATTAGCTAATTGGCCAACTTGCACCTCCAAATTCTGAATAGAAGCTTGCTGATTCTGAAATTGAGTTTTTGTTTCAGTCATGAATTGGGTGGTAGACATAGTCAACTGAGTAAGAGCATCTTCCAAATTTATTTTCTTCTCTTGAGCCGGAAAGCCAGGTGGTGGTCTTTGCACATTCTGAGTATTGCTCCATGAAAAATTTGGATGGTTTCGCCAACCGGGGTTGTATGTATTGGAATAAGGATTATTCCTTTGTCGATTCAATTCTCCAACCTGATTGACTTGCTCAGCAGACGCAAATGGGTTCCCTGTGGTACACTCTGAACTTGGATGAGGGCCTGCACAAAGTTCACAACCAAAATTAGTACTAGTGTTTATAGAATTAACACTTAAAGAATCAACTTTTTTAGTAAGGTTAGAAATTTGTGCTGTTAGCAAAGCCATAGCATCGACTTCCAAGACCCCAGCTGGCTTCAGATTCATTCTCTCACTTGGCCATTGGTAGTTGTTGGATGCCATGGTCTCCAATAATTCAAATGCTTCGGTAGCCGTTTTTGCCATTAAAGCCCCTCCAGCAGCTGCATCAACTAGTGTCCTGCTTGTTTGACTCAACCCATTGTAGAAGGTCTGAACTTGAATCCAGGTTGGTAGCTCATGGTGAGGACACTTGCGCAATAAGTCTTTGAATCGTTCCCAGGCTTCATATAGAGGTTCCTTATCATATTGAGCGAATGACATGATATCTTGTCGGAATTTTGCAGTTTTGGCTGGTGGGAAAAATTTAGCAAGGAATTTCTTAGATAAATCATCCCAAGTACGGATGGAGTCTTGTGGCTGTGACAGTAACCAAAGCTTGGCTTTATCTTTCAAGGAGAAGGGGAAAAGCCTTAAACGAATCGCATCGTCAGTTACTCCATTGAACTTGGACGTATCACAAATCTCCAAAAATATCGCAAGATGGATGTTGGGATCTTCATTCGGTAGACCACAAAATACAGATGAATTCTGCAGCATGGTGATCATGGCTGGTTTGATCTCAAAATTGTTGGCTGCAATAGCAGGACGTCGGATCGCTGAGGGAGTTGCCACTGGGGGGCCAAATTCCCCCACGGCTCTTTCTGCTTCCTCCGCCATAGGTGTGGATGGTGGTTCCACCAAAGTGTGCTTTTTGTTTCCTTTGTTCCGCTTATGAAACGTACGTTCGATTTCTGGGTCAAGTGGTATGAGTTCTAGGGTACGAGAACGGTGCATACACGGATCAAAGTACCTGAAACAAAAAGAAGAAATTCAAATTAAACTCAGAATTAAAATATATTGATATTAATAGAAAATAAAACAGTCCCCGGCAGCGGCGCCAAAAACTTGTTGTGAAATTATTGCAAGCGCACAATTCGTACAAGTAATATAGAAATAAGTAGAGTGTCGTTCCCACGAAGACTGTAATTTCCTATTAACTACCAATTATGATTAATTTAGAAGTTTATTTGAACAGTTAATTAAGAAGATTGATTGATTCAAGAAAACTAAAATAATTATGAAAAATAACAATTTAATTAACGATAGAAAATTAAGATGATGAGACACTAGAGCATCCGATTTCACCATAACCAATTCTACTTAATTCTTATAGCCAATTAACCCTAATTACTATCCCTGTTGACAGTTGGTTTCTCCTAATTCATTCGATATCCCCTCTCGGGCTCAACCAAAAGTATTCTCAATTAACAACCCATTCTCTCTCGAGCAACGGATTTAGAAAACTAAGAACCCATTAAGTTCTATGAGAACCTACAAGAAAACTGCATGAGTCATGTTAGTCCCTCTCGGGCACTCATTCAAGTCATGGTATTTGTTACAAGAAGCAAACACCAAACATCTCCTCTCGGTCTCCGCTTGGATCATCAATTAAATATTAGCTAGATATTTAAATCATTAAGAACAGTAACAAATACTCAACATGGGATAATAATAAGGAATTAATATAACTATAAAAATTGAGTATTCATGGTTAGGCTACATCGTAGCCCTAGCAAGGGAAATTAGTTCATGACAGAAGAAAATATAAACAAGAGAATTATTGTCATAAAACCAATTTGGCCGATGGACTTGATCTTCAGAATCTTCACAGGAACACCTTCAAAAGCTCCTCAAATAATGCAGCAGCAAATTCTTGGCTTCCTCTGATATTTCTCTGGGTGTATGAAAGTTGGTGGAAAAATATGGTAGATGATGGTGGAAAAAGGTGATACCATGAAGAGATCCTAGGGTGACCTTATATAGTATAAAACAACTAAACCCTACTTCAAAAAGGTCTAGAAAAACTCTCCTAAAGCAAAACAAAATCTCAAACAATTAAGGAAACAAACTAGGAAAGAATCCTTATTTGACTTGGAAACACGTCAGCCAACTTGCACGCACATTTTGGGGTTGTTCCACTTCCTAGAAAATTCTGGAAAAATATGAGAAACGTAGCTTTATCTCTAAGCTTTCCAAGCATATATTACACACCACTAGGAAAAATCGGAAAGATATTCAAATCTTCACTCTTCCACAGCAGTGCAGTTCTGACGGGATTTCAACTTAGGCTGTCTTGACTTGCAGGTCTGGAGCATTTGGCTTGGTAGAAAATTATGAAACTTTGATACAATGATCTTCAATGTCTTAGCTTTCTTCTACAATTGGTCTTGCACTAAAATGCATTCGAAAAGTTGATTTTCAGTTGAAATCCTTCCAAGAGCGCAGAATAGCTGAAAATAAGGAAAGTAAAGTAATAATACTCTTTTTAATTAACTTTCCCCACAAAACCTACATATAAAAGGTGTAAAAATATAGGAAATAATACACTTATCAAATACCCTAAAGAGCAGGGGACAATGACACAAAGATTGTTTGAGTACGAAGCTTACTTACTTGCAACTAAAATACAACATATAATGAATGGTTCTTCTACTAATATCACCGGTGACTTTTTGTGATAAAACTCCACACCTTCTATGCTTTGTAGATGATTAAATTGAGGACAATATCAATTTTGCTAATAGTGTGGGGTTCTATCACAAACTAAGCTCAATTTAACTCATATACCAAATGAAGTGCTCAAATGTTGATTAAGCTAAAGTGTGAGCTCTTGAGAATTAACGCCAGGAGGGTGACACAAAGACACTACAACTTGAAGGGGGATTTATAGTTGCATGAGTTGGGGTTGGTGATAATAGAACCTTTCTCAGTTATGATGTTTTGGAGACTCATCAATCAATATATGCCTCTAACATGCTTTTTGTTATTATTATTATTATTTTTTTATAAGTACAATCAATTGTGGAGGGGAGTTTACATAAATATTCATTAGGTGCATAGATGTTTCGAATTTCTGACCACATGAATGGAGTTCGAAGAGTTCAACTAAGAGCAGTTCCACTGGGAGGCCCAAGCCCGGGCAAGAGGCCCACTAGGCCCCCAATCCGATTTCCTGCACCCAAGTCTTGCCAGGGCAAGAGCTGGGCTCCACCAACTGGGATAAGCCCAAAGGCAAGACTTGCCTAGGCTGTTGCCTGAGTAAGCTAACCAATGCTGACGTCGTTGTGACGTCAACATGCAATTTAAACAACAAAAAATTGAAAAACAAAAGAAAAAAGAAAACCAAAAATTTCAGAAATTTCAGAATTATATATAAAATATCTAGCCATATTCTTCACTTCCCACACTAAAACTCTATACAAATTCCTCTACTCATATTTCATGTGAATCGTGGTTGCCCTTGGGTTGCCATGACAATGAGTGGAAAACCAAAAAAATAATTGCTAGAGCAAGCACTATTTATGTGAATAATAACAGCCCTTGCTTCCCCTTACCTTTTGCCATGACAAATTGGTGGAAATGCTCTAACTGAGCCATATCCATTGGCTTACATGCTTTATTTTTTGCTTGTTATAAAGGAGTGCTGCTATTTCCACCCCCTGTCATATTTCTCCATCCACCTTGTAAATTTGAAAAAACAAAATCCTATATTTTCACCCTCCATTATTCCTAAAATACCCTTTAATTATTAATTCAAGCAAAATTAAGAAATCGAGCAAAAAGTTAAAAAAGATACTCAAACAAATCCAATAACCTCTTCCAATTCTTCTTCTTTAATCCCAATTCAAGAAAAAAATCCCGAAAGACACCCCTTTAGTCTGCAACACGCCCCTTGCTTTCATTCAAAGCATGCTTCAAGCCTTCAACTCCATTTGTATGCATTAATGCATTAATATCTTCTATTTCCTTGACTTGATAAATATAGTTGTAACAATTTCACATATTTGAAGCCTCATTCAATTGGTTAAACGACACATCAATTGTTTCCCATCAATTGGTTAAATCTATATCTGGATTATACTATCAATCACGAGATTAAGAAAAGAAAAAGGCAAAATGAATGTTTATTTTTCTCACTTAACTTTCGAGACGTAATTAACCACTACAACAATTTGCAACCAAATGAAAACTTCATTCTTCAATCTTCATTCGTAAATGGATGAATGAATTATGCACAACCACCCAAAAAAAAAAACAAAAAACAAAACACAAAAAGAATCCATGTAGGAGAGAAGGGACAAGATAGGTGACCAAATTTTATTTTATTTTTTAAAAAAGAAAAAAATTGAAAGAGACTCCTGACGAAAGCAGCTTGGATACTGCATATTCCCTTGGGCTTACAATCCCCTGATAGCACCACAAGCAATACGTACCAACAAAACTTAATTCTTATTTATCATTCAAAATAAATGACAACCACAAGGTGCGTGAACCTTGCTTGAAGAGTCGACCTGTCTTATATATGAGAATGGGTTTAATTAATGGAGGGCTATGGATATGTGGTCGGTATATTTTTGTCTTATTACTATGAATCAGAGAATTTAGATAGGGAATCAATGCAGATTGTGGCTTCATCAAGGCCTTGTTCAATGGTTGCAGAGCTTTCGTCCTGGTCAGACGGGTCAACGGGAGATTGCCTTCGGTTGCAGCAAAAGATCAAGACTATGAGTAAGATTATGGCGAGGACTCCAATGAAAACTCCAGCAGCGTCATATATTTCATCCCTGTCCATGTTGTTGATGGCTGAAGCGAAACCACGTAGCAGAAGAAGAAGGGTCCAAATTGTTTCATTTTCTTTTTGACTGACATGATATGAATCAGATGGGGAAGGCGTAGAAAATAGATTTGAGAGATGGATGGGATGGGAATGAGAGGGCGGCGATTTGTTGGGGGATTATGTGGATTTGGAAGTATACTATATGTTGTATCTGGTAATTGACCTAGCTGGTATCTGGGGTGTGTGCCAAGCTGTGGAGTTTGTATATGATAATTGTTTTTTTAGTACAAGAGACGGTTTAAACCATAAGGGAGAGGAATTTCTCACACACACAACTATAATTTCGTAGGGATTCGAACATGAGACCTCTGGTCTACAAATTAAGGCCATTTGCCACTTGGTTAGACCTTATTTGCCTATCTGATAATTGTTAAAAATATATACTTTGTATCATTTTCTTAACGAGCAAACTTGTCCCAGCTTTATATAATTGATTATAAAAAAAATTCTGACTGAAAAAGAAATGGAAAATTTTATGGTTTGTTTAAGCAATACCCCCTAAACTATCCTAATTCCACTTTACCCTCCAAATTTTCAAATTGATTTTGAGGGCCCCTAATCTTCTAAAACGTGTCAATGTGCCCCCTTCTATTAAGTTTTTTTAATTCATCTGTTCCAATCTAGGGTTATTTTTGTCCTTTTCACAACTTTTATTCTAAAATAGCCCACTTAAAGAGGCACTATATAAACAACAAAGAAGGAACTATGGTTCTGTTTGGTAAGCTAGACTGGATTGGATTGAATTAACCTTTTTATATTACACTGACTGATTGGGATATGACTGAATTTTAAGCAGTTGTTTGGTGTAGTACAACACCAAAATTCCAATAAGTTGTCACTCATCTTCAGACTTTTTTTTCTCAAATTAGAGAATGTGTTTCATTCTGTTCATCACTCAACTAAAGCCTTCCAAACAACCATGGCCAGAAGCATGCGCACGAGAAGCAAGGCCTTCGTGGTGACTCAATCTGCTACGAGCCAAAGCCATCCTTCTCACGGC